GAAAAAAGAAACAAGGGGGGGACATGCCCATGACAAGCGTCATCAAGAGGCCCAGCCGCACCGCGAGCTTTGACGAGGACGAAGACGATGATTCGGATGACGATGATCCGAACGAAATATCAACAACTAGCATTTTTGATGATGACGATGACGATACTTCGATCTGTTCTGTCGATACCTACGGAGAGCCAAAACAAAAACAAATCCCAATTCTGGATTTGAAATTGAAGAAAGCTAGCCCTAAGCCAAGTGGCTATGGGATGGCGGCTCTCGCTCACGTCTACGGAAGTGCCACGCCAAATCCTGGTTACGGAAAAGCCGGCCTTGGTTATGGAGACGACGACGACGACGACGACGATCTCGGATATGGAGATGCCGCTCCTGACACTGCCCCCGATCTTGGTTATGGAGATGCCGCTCCGGACGCTGCTCCCGATCTTGGCTATGGCAAGGCCGCACCAGATTTGGGATATGGAAACACCAAACCAGATTTGGGATATGGCAATGCCGCACCAGATTTGGGATACGGAGATGCCCAGCCTGACAATCAAGGACAGGCCTACGATCTTCGCAAACCTACACCTTCCACTGTGGATCTGGGGTACGGAGATGCCACTCCCGACGCCCCGGAAACAGCAGTGGCGACGGAGGAGTATGATTATCATGATTTGTATGGCCAGGCTCCCCGCGCTTCTCTACAGAAAGCACGGCGTCGACAGCACCGGGCATCCTCTATGCAGCATGTTTCTTCAGCGATGTCGCATGGTCATGATCCAACTCCAAGAATTAGTTTTGGAACTCGTCGTCAACGGAGACGGTCTAATTCTATGAATATGCTCTCGAACCACAGCAGCATGAACCACGGCAGCATGAGAATGTCCTTTCGGGGTAATGGTCCGTCCCACTGTGATGGCGGGCAGGACACCAGTGGCGAATTCGGAACTCGACATCGGCCCACGAATGCTGGGAAACGTAACCAACGTCGCACTTCGTCCATGTCGATGCTCAAGACTATGGGCATGTCCACTAGGAATATGGGCGGAGGAGGTCGCACCATGGATACCTCCGGATTTGTCACGGGGTCACGGATCCGGAGAATAGACAATGCTTCGCAGCTCTTGACGGCAGCACGGTAGCACGGTTGGTGCTGTGGGACGCGGAGGGCATACCGGTAGACTCGTACAGGTTAAAAAGAAAAAGGTTTCGTTATTTCGTAGAATTATCTACAAGCTTGAGGGTCCCCCGAAGGCCGCGATGCGGTCCTCTTTTTTCAGGCTATCCCCATCATGTACCTGGCATTGCGAGGAGGGGGTTTCCTTAGGATGTCTTGCTTGGCAGGGATTCAGATACCCTTGAACGACCGGATACCAATCAAATGAGTATGAAATAATGTGCAACTTGCTAGGACTTTCTTTAGATAGTGGCTAGATGGATTGATAGATAGATAGATAGATAGATAAATAAAACGAGGATGAAATAATGTGCAACTCGCTAGCTAGTAGGACTTTCTTTAGATAGTGGCTAGATGGATTGATAGATAGATAAATATAGATTTCTTGAGATTCGATTCTGCTGGGTCCCAACATTTCCCCGTGAAATTTAGAATGAGAATCCATGCTTGGGCATGCCACCTTCGTGTGGCCCTCTGATTGTGCTGTGTTCCACATCTGCACAGATTGTGCAGATTACAATAAGCAGATGCATCCCTACTTCGAGGACTTCTTGTTGGCCATTTTCTTTGAGGACTTTTTGTTGTCCTTTTTCATGGCTTTGTTGTGATCTGCTCGATGGCTGCGCCGCTGATCTGCCTGGCACTCCTTGCTGCAGTAGTAGGCTTTGCCACAAGAACACTTCTTCAGGCTGGGGCCAACTTTCCCGCACTTCCCACACTGGTTGCCAGCTGCATGGTCATACAAATGAGGAGTCGCTTTCTTTGAGAATGGGGATACTTTCTTCATGGCGGTCTTGGGTTGCTGTTCCAGCAGCTGCAGAACAGTCGAATCAGCAACATCAATGTCCTTACAGCCCATCATGGCCATGAATGTTCTGATCTGTGGGTGTTTGGCACAGGGCGATGTGGCAAAAAGCACCTTTTTGGGTCTCGAACCATCTGCGGGAGCGGGTGTATCCAAATAGGTTTTGCCTTCCGGTTCCAAGCAAGCAGCGACAAACGTTGACAATAGATTCTTTTCATGGCTATCTTCAGCACTGCAGAGTACCACCCGCACACTACGGAAAACATTGTGAGTTTCCCCCCACTTGACTCTAATCATATCCACCTCGAAAACCCGGTATACAAGCTTATCCTGAAACTTGGCATCAATATCCTGGGCTACTTCATCAGGCAAGCCTGGATCTTGAAAAATTTGACTCACACTGTGGATGGTTCCCTTGCCAAAGACCAAGTATGTCTTGTCAGACTCAGGAAAGGATTTCACTGCTGCCAGGGCCTTTGAGTTCAGGGTTGGTGGCATCTTGAACAGTTTGGAACCATCTGCAACTTTTGAGCTTAGCTTGTGCGCCAAGTCAAGCCATTCCTGGGCTGTCCCAGGTTGCATTTCAGAGAGAGACATATGGATATCCAAAGGGTTTGAACCCAAGGCAACCAGCTTCTGAAGAATAAGACATAAGTCTTGATCGCAGCATGCCAAGATGTCCCCGCTCCCTTTTCGGATGTTGTCGGATGCTTTCTTGAGACCACCAAAAACATCGCTTGCAGAGACCACTTTCCCCCCAAATTTGAGGCTTCGCCCTTTGTCTTCTGCTGTTGCACTACTGCACAACTGAACGGTGGCTTTGGAGTGGGCATGTGCATGAGGAATCTTCTTACTCTCACAGTAGTGACAGGCCAGGAAATGACTAGCAACGGCTCTGATGAAAATGAGTTCTTGGTTCTCCGTGTCTTCCACCAGCCGCTCAAGGATTTTCAAGCTTTCCTCTTTCAAGACAGGTGTTTAGGAAAAGCTGCCTGTGCAAGATATTTTAAACATTTTCATGCAGACCTGTATCTCCATTGCCCTTGTGAAAGCTACCCATTTATGTCTCCGTGGATCTCGCAAAGCCAAACCATTTGGCCCCAGTAACGGTCCAGACTTTCTTGCCCTGATCCCACAGAACCTAGTCCTGAATTTCGATTGTTCTTTGCTTTTAAGCCTGGCCCCGGCTGGCTTCCGTAGATAATTTCCCTACTCTAAACCCCCCCATATAAAGTCATGACGAAACTGGTCGAAGTCTTGGGTACGGGGCACAGCATCAAACGCTTTGAGATAATTCATTATGGCATCGTCAATGTTACCCGCTGCCTTTGTCATGTCGCCGCCTACCATGTAGGCTTCATAAACGATGGCAAAGCTGGGAGGTAACGACATTCTGTAGGTGTTCAATAGTGCGGGTTGGGGATTACGCAATGGTTTAGCTCTACTAGGGCTGACTGTCATTGTAAGAGAAGTGAGGTGCGATCTTTTGTCGGACTTTTCGCTTTTCGGATGGGTTCGTGGATTGTGGACAAAAGGTACAGTATCTTTTAAAAATCCAGCAGAGCTGCCTACAAATGACTTGAAGGGAGGAGTTGCCAGTCCCTGAGGCCCAAAAGATGGATCCAAAACCGGCTCAAAAACTGCACAATCCTGTACCTGGTACCGTACACTTTGACATGTTTACTCCAGAGTATTTGCGTCATGCACTTTGGCGGATCAACCCACCCTGACTGCACCCCCAAATGACAAAGTGTGGATGCTCTTGGAGTGCTTGCTTCTTCCCAAATCCGCCACCAATTCCTTTCTTGATCCTCCGGGCAGAAAGCACTAGTTACTGTCCGGGTAGCACGGAAACCACGTTGCTTGCTAGGTTGTGGGTCCAGAATCTCCAGAACTTGCTGCAATTCCTAAAAGTAGGAGGTATCATCATGCCACATTCCACGGAACATCATGACTGAATCGAATCTACGGGTACCGGTACCACATGAAGCAGTAGAGCCGTTTACCGAGAATGGCAACTTTTGCGGATGACTGTCAACCGGGTAGCATAGCTGTCAAGGTACGTACATGTACTTCCAGGGGACATTATTGTACTGTACCAATAGACTTTTGGATGCTGCATAAGCCCTATTAGCCCTCCAATGTTATGTTCTTGAGGGCAGTGTCAAGGAATCTATACATTTGTAATAAAGAACTAAAGTCTCTTTGATGAGAAAACATTGAAGAATTAGGGACCGTTACTTCTTTATATCTTTCAATAGGGGCAGTAAAGTTGGCACCACAAAGTGACTTGGTCACGTGAATGTGACGATGGTCTCCGAAGCTCCATGGAAGACTGCATGAAGCCACCAAACAAGTGAACCAACACGCACCATCTCAGCAATCATTGACAAACCATTGCGAGAGCCAAGGGTCGCTTAGCTTGGGCATCTTTCTGATCTTGGCCGCTGAATTGGTTGTTTGGGCAGTCGACGGAAGATACAAGAGAAAAAGTTTGCAAACTAACTTACTTTACTTGGCGACGCTCATTATTATTAGAAGCGAACCAACCTGAAGGCACGACTATATTCTAAGAAAAAAATAGAACCGGCATCACAATACGACCATAATCATCAGCAGCATTCTTTGTTAAAAACACAACAACGCGCTTGACACCATGACACTGACAGACTACTCGAAATCCAAGGCGAAAGTGTCGGATGCTGCAAATCTTTCTTGCTCTCATATGGAAGATGAATTGGCCGCTTTGCCCCTGGCGGATTTGATGGAAGACTCGGAAGCGGAACGTCGCCGATCGAGTAGCAAGACCCAAGACATGAGACGTCGTCGTTCGAGTGCCGAAGTAATGCTCCGAAATGGTCAACAACACGGCGAAGAATACGACGATTTTTTGGAGTTTGAATTGGAAATTCCGTCGGTTCATGATCCACATGCTGCTGCACAACAACAACAACAGGCGTCATCATCGCATTTGGAAGATTCCATGTTGAGTTTGGGCGATCCCTTTGATGGATTTGAAGAAGAGGAAGAAGAAGACTATGACGAACAAGAAGGAGATGAGGACTACGAACAAGACGAAGACCATCAACATCATCATCCCCAGCGTGATAGTAGTGCGTTGAATGCCTCGGCCACGTCCTTTAAATCTTCCACGAGCAAACGCCGCATTCATCGTCGTCGTCTTCGACCCAAACCAGGCGAAGACATGCACAATTCCATGAACTCTACAGGATCTTCCGAACGATCCCTCCTCATTCGAAATCGAGGTGGCAGTGCCAGAGACATGTCCCAATCCGTACCCGATATTGGCGTCAATCATTCTCGTCAAGGCAACAAAGGAGTGCGCAGTAGCAACACGTCCACCGGAAGTGGACCGTCTCTGTCCGGGTTTCTCGAAAAGCGACGACAGACGTCACTCCTCCCCGGATCCACCACGGAAGATTTGTGCAGTGAAATGAATCAAGTCGCCGCCGCAAAGGGACTGGGAGCGAGTAGCAGTCGTATCTCACGCGGAGCTCCTCCTCCCGGTCTCATGCGTCGCAACACGGTCGACAATCCACAACCCACTACAACGAGAAAATTGAGAGATTATTCCCAAACAAGTTGTTCCAGTGGCCGTCGTGTGCCCGCCAATACACCCCGCATGAGAGATTCCTCGGCACCTTCCAATCGTCGTCGCTCCCGATCTCCCATGGTACCCACGTCCATTACCAATCCTCCCAGTCTCGTAACATCATCCTCATCCTCACAACAGCGTACGCCCCGACGATCCCGCAGTCACGAAACCGACGACGACTCGGGCGCCATTCGTTCCGGACGTCGGGTCCCACCCAAATCCAAATCGCACGACGGTACACTCCCCACAATGCGCAAACCCCGTCGGACGCAATCGGGCGACAACAATCACATGCACAATTCGTTTGTCACGGGCAGTCGCATTCGACGCATTCAACCTGGAACGGCGGGATCGTTGACGCGCGAGAATTCCGTTCCCCGCAATGGATTGATATCGTCGTCGCGCAGTATCTCCCCCGTACGAAAACCCCATCGGTCCAAGTCGGATGGACAAACGTCGTAAAGATGCCGAGATTTGTATTTAGTTGGATGATGGATTCCATTTGATTAAAAAATCTACATGTTGAATATTTTTGCAAGAGAGCGAGAGAGACTCGAGTGACTGGATTCTTCGTTCGTTTGGTGGATTCATGTATTTGCCAAAGAGGTCCGTTGCTTTGATGCAACGGACGATGTGGCAACGTTCATGTGAAATGAAACAAACAGAAGAGTAATACATAAAATGTGACCCAAACGAGACCCTGTTAGCTAGAGCCAAGTATACCTTCAAGTAAGACTATAGGCAGACTTTGCAGGAGACAACCCCACAGTTTTTCTTGTGGTGACCCTTCTTCCGGAAATCACAGGCACGAAGAATTTTTTCCTGTTGGCACGCTCGTAGTTGCTCGTTCAGAGAGAATGGGAAGGACACTAGCCAAATCATATGTCTCCACCTACTACTACCTAGACTGTCTTTGATGATGATTGACCTTTCAATCGATGCCCAGTTGGTGGGTGCAGAGCCCCGTTAGGACCATAGGCGAAGCCACTCTTCGTAATGCCTTTTAATACCAGTATCAAAAAGATGTATTATGCCCAACAAAACTTGCAAAATGCCTTGGGCTGTTCTGCGGCATTTCATGGGTTCAATTTATATCGGAACATTAGTTGGCAACATTCACCGATCATTGACCGGGGAAGCAAGCAGAAAACTCTTGAAGAACGACTGCGAATACAGTAATAACCAGTTCTGTTTCCGATTGCTATCTCTTCCATTCAAATTCCAACAGCTAGCTACAGCCGAAACTCTGCTTCATTTTGATACCGTCTTTGGAGAGTTTCCTCCAAACGGCGTAGGACTCTCTGATTGGCTTCGGCAAAGCTGGGTTGCAGGTACAATTTATCCAACGAGCCCGACTCACAGATACAGCCCACCTCTACGTTGGACCGCACATGCGGTGGCAAGATCCGCTTGGTCCCAGACACCAATTGCAGTGCAAAGACCCCCGTGTGAAAATGTTTGAATTTTTGCAGCTTGGCGGGGTGTGCCAGCATAATGTGCCAGATCGACCGATACATGCCAACATTCATGCCCTGGTTCCGATCGACAGAAACGCATTCGGCCATGACAATGTGCCCCCTACGCATCGCTTCGAAATCCGGTGTGACTGCCTGAAGCAAGTAGTAGACTTCTCGCAGCTTTAGTTCCTTTCCTTCTGCCAGGGCTTTTAAACATTTGGTGGTGGGCTGTTTGGAGAAATCCAAGACAATGACGTAGTTTCCCTCTTGGTGGCTGAAACTAAAGGACAGAAAATGGCCAGGAAAGCGGTCAAAGGCTTGATGGACTGTCCGTTTGCTGCACTCAAAGCTGTCCACGACATTGTATTCTTGTCGAATCTCTTGTAAGTGATGGGCTCTTTGCAGCGTAGATTCCAAATCTCCAGGCTCTTCCGTCAGTGCCAGCTGAGCACAGCAAAAATCATTCAAGTTATCCAATTCCGGATTGGCTTCAATAGCTTGTTTGATTTCCAAGGCCCATGTCCGCTCCTCTTCTGACAGTCTCATTCGACCAGGATCATACGGGCCTAAAGGTCTTGGTGGAGCAGCCTCTTGGGGTCTGGTTGCTCGCTCACCCTCCATTTCTTCTTCTCGTTCGTCCCAGGCTGCTGGCTGTCTCGCATAGTCCACTTCGTCCATGATAGTATCTATTTCAGGTCTATAGAGGAAGGCAAGCTGTAGAAGGAGGAGGTGCTTGAATAATGGGGATTATCGTAATGGTAATGGAAAGCTATTGTGAGAAGGACCTGTTGTACTCTTAGTAGCTCTTGTTCTCGGTCGCGTGGTCTGAGGTCACGATGGTTCCAAGTAAGTAAGTTGCCAACCGATTGGTCACGACGACAAAAGGCGATAACAGACATAACAGACACGAGGTGCCGTGGAAGGCACGAGGCCTCTTGCGAACTCGAGCTCGTGTTTTTTAGTTTCACTAGCGTACGTACTGTAAAGTAGAACTGCCCAAGGATGAGCTTTCCATCAACAAATAAATAGTCTAATATCACTGCACAGACGCTGGAACTTGACTTCGAAGCTCTACTTCGATAAGGTCGACATGTACTACGGTACCAGTACCACTAGCCAGCTCAGATGGCATTACACTGAAACTTTGAAGACTCTTCTGCACCTCTCCCGAATTGGGATGAGGAGAAGACCTTGATCATGATGTTCATTCGATTGAATTCGTCATTCCTACAATCATGCAGCAGCCTGAAAGAGCCCTTGTGACCAAGCCTGCCTAAAAGCAAAGAAATCAAGAGAGATCAGCGGCCTACCAGATCGCAAGAGAAGAAGACCACCAAGCAAGGAGCCCTGAAGTACAAATGCATTGGCTGGTACTTGTAGTAGATCCGCTTCAAAAAGCAGACACGTCTGTGTCAGTAGATGTGCTACACAGAGCCATGAGAGGCACAAGTCTCCGACTAGATGAGCTAATGTTTGGCTCTAGCTAGGAACTACATGTAATATCGATCAATCAATCTATACAAACCGCGTAAGCTAGCTGTATCCTGAAGCACAGTGCGGTAATACATTTCGAAACGTCAACCTTATCTGGGCATTGATGTAATGAGGGGTTCGTAAGCGTTTGATCTCAAGGCTGGGTCAATGATCCTTATGATTACCGCCAGTGATATTTATTGCTTGGTTCAACAAAAAAGATGGTAGTCATGGGATCCAGATGGGAAGACTTGCACAATATCGAACCCTTTTGCATACAACAGCAAACGGTCAGGCTTTAGTCATATTCAGACCTGCTACAGTAGCTTATGATACTTAGTTATGTTCCACAACCTCGAAACCCAACCTAAAAGTCCCACCTTCTGTAGGAAGAGGGGCAGTTGGATCATCAACTAAAGACGGTCAGGTGCCCTGTCAAGTCCTTAGGAGCGATCATGGCCATCAGTCGAGAATTCGAAGGACCTTTACGCAAGTGGAAGCCAAGCTCTGTTCAGATAGTTAGTGACCTTGGACTTTTACTCTGATGATTGCACCATCGCCATCCGTTATTTTAAATGTTGCACACAGTAACTCGCCCAAAAATGATTCAGCAATGAACCAATGCAAGTAAACGGAGCAATGCAAGCTCTTCCCTTACTCCATCAAAAGGCAACACTCAGCCATCCGAGAGATTGCTTCTGTGTCGATTCAGATTCGCCAAGGTAGATGATTGCATGGTATCTTTTGGGCCCTTACGAATCATCATTTGTCGTGTTGTTGTCGCAATGCCGAAGCTTGAAGTAGTCTCTCTTGCTCGGCCGCCATTTCATCCGTGAATTTTCCCTTTTTGGCTTTGGCAGCAATTTTCTTTTTGGCTTTTCGTTTCTTGACTGGTTTGCCCTCTTCGTCCTCTTCTTCCCTTTGTTGCTTTTGCTGTAAATACTCCAAAGCGTCGTCCAAGACATCCTCCAACCCCATGTTTCGAATGGCTTGCTCCACTTGCGCTTGTTGTACATGACGGACGCCTTGTTTGTCATCCCCACTGGTGATTTCTTTCAATTGCTGTGCTAGGGTTTGAATAAAGGCTTCTTGGCAATCCTGCAATCCCTGATAGGCGCCGTGGGTCAATTGAAGAAGTACTTCATCATCATCATTGTTGTTGTCGCTGGAGGCAATCAACGCTTGTAAAAAGTCCGGGTCCAGAAGATTCACCTGCTTGCGCTTTCTTCCACCGCCGCCGCCGCTCATGGTGGTAATGCCTGAGACTATTAGTTGATGTAGTAGCGACGGGTAGACAATCTCCTCTCCTTTTCAACATCATTTTGTGTCTTCGTCCTCTTCTGTCACTGAGGCCGATCTTGCGCCATATGTTGAAAAGGTGTGAACTTGAAGGCACAATTTCTCTAATTTAATCAATATCCTTCCAGCTCTACTGTCTAGTAGACTGGCTATTCGTTTCGTTTTCTCTTTCTCTCTCGTTCAGATTGTGAGCTCTACAACTGAGCTCCAATATGCATACATATACCAGGATCTTTTGTTTCTCGCAGTTTCATTTGCAGATAGATCTCGTCGATCTATCTTCCTGAAGTGCATGGTTGGCCCTGGAGGGCTTTCCCACTTTATTAAACCTATGGACCTTCATTCGTCCATTCATTTGCTCCGTCCCATCGCTCATTGCATTCATCTCTTCGACCTAACTTCCTAACCTTTGTAGTTGCATCATCTAGACGACCATTGTCCTCGTTCCTCGTACACCTGGCCATCTGATGATGATCGGATAACCATCTGATTTGAGTCACATATCCCCAATCACGAACCGTGACTGCGGATCCCGAGTCGTCTGTCCGTCATACGAAAATACCTTTCTAACAGCCATATGAGAATCATCATACTAGTAAGGATGGGGTTAACTCAACAGCGACGATGGCCGCACATCCGCAACACTCTCACTCCACCAGCGCCTTCTCTCAAGAGTGTTGGATGTCATCTATCTCTTGTCCGTTTGTTCCATTCCATTCCATTCCATTACACCGTTGACCACTCATGATTCTTCTACAAAGCCTCTCGCAGTGGACGCTACGGCTCTGCCATCACTTTTCGCAACCCTTTATTCGTCAATCGGCGTGTCGCCCTCTCTTGGTGGGTCAACATGACATGATAAATGATGATGAGGATAGCATTTGGTCCGATGCGCTGTGGTTTGCCGTTCCCAAGAAAAAGGTCACCCGATCCAAAAAGCGCATGAAGACCACTGCTCAAAAGAGAATCAAGTTGAAGCAACATATCATTGACGATCCCAGAACGGGAGAGCCGACATTGCGACACAAATTGCCGTTAAAGTGGAAGGACTATTTGCCCAAAATGGACTAGCTTGTCGAAATGATGGAACGAGAGAACGAGCAAGCAAGAAGTGATGGTGGTATCGAGTTGGCTTTATATGTATTACCTGGAGCGCTGGATCCATTCTTCGAGCTGACGAAACGAAGATTCCAGTAAAGGTTGGAGAATCGAATATCGAATGCACTGAAAACGACAATTTCGAAGACTGGGCACCTCGGAAAAGGGTGATGGACCCACCAGATGGTATTATTGATAGGTCTAGCTAGTAGGAACTACACGTTAAACACTACAATATGGATACAGCAATGATCATTTAACTACTGGTACCAAACATACATTGTACCCTTACTGTCAGGTGCAATTCTTGGCTTTTGGCCTAGTAACTTGTAGAGTTTGTCGCTTACTTTGTCCATAAAACATTGGTACCATTCTTCCTTCACTTCGGCATAACCATAATATGAATCATTTGTAACTCCACTGATGTAACTGTCAATGTCATGTCCACGGCCTTGCCTAAATGACAGCAAGATATCGCCTAGGACTTCATCTGCATTCTTATCTCTTGTGTGCCCCCCTTCGGTCATAACACACACCTGAAAGTTGTAGGTAACCAAAGAGACATTTTCCAGTGCAAACTCAATGCGGCGCATCTTGTCTGCCTCACGAGCTGTTTTGTTGGCTTCCCGTGTGGCTTTCTCCAGCGCTACAACCTTGGTCTTGATGTCCGCGAGAAGCTGGTTGTTTTTATTTTGCAGGGATAGCTGTGATGACCCAACTGTCGAAGTCACTGCATCCACCAAGTTCATGGCCGCGTTGTTGACATTCTTGGGTGAGCGTGCATCCTGAGGAGGTGGCAAGAGGTGAGCTCCTCCCAAAAGAACAACTCGCAGTGATGGCGGATCAAAAGACTCACCGTTGGCTGCTTTTTCGGTTTGGCAAACAAGGAATGGAATTGTTTGCTTTTGGCTTGATACTGCTCTAGTGTGATGGATGGAGGAAACAGTCTATCGACAGGATGCGGCAATCCTCTTTTGATAGATGAAGAATACGAATGCAGAGAAAAAGAGCAGGATGTTCTTGCCAAGGACGCTCCCAACAGCAAACGTATGGTGAACAACAGTCCTCTCATGGTGGTTGATGCTCTATGAAGGTTGCAAGGGGAGAACAATTTACGAACTGTAGATCTGCAGGGTTTGCAGGCTGCGCTTGTGACTTCCGGTGTCTGGTACAGTACGTACCTGTAGCTACCTGTATCGGTGGTACTGTACTGGGTTGGGTCTACCAGTCTGAAATTTTCACTCTAATCCACGGCCCACGGTGTGGATCCACGCTGTTCGAACAAGAACAGAGCGGACACACCGTGACCTCTCCTGGATCTGCCTCGAGAGCTACATGTACCAGGTGGCTACCAGTAACTAGCTCCCAAGCCTATCCCGGTGGTGGATGTCAACCTGCATCTTCCCGGAAGTCAGCCTGCACCTTCTAGTAGGTGGCCCAGACCCTCGTCCATGCCATCATGTGGTAGGTTGAGAGAAAAAAGTAAATCCAAACTCTTCAAGATTGATGCGTCCAATTTCCCCCTCGTGCTTCCCAGTACTTCCCAGTTGTCGAACCTTATTCGGCTCAATCCGTTCATGGTTGATGGCCATTTCCAGGTTAGAATTCCCTTCCTTCCTGGCCAGCTTCCGGCCAGTTGACCAGGCTGTGACAGTCCTGGTCACGATCCTCTTCTTTGACCAGTTCCGAGCCGAGTTGACGCGAAATAGCCCTGTTTCATTTGCACTGCCAAAAACTTCTTGACAAGTACACAGCGGTAAAGGAAGTGCAACAATAGAAGCGCTGAAGCAATGACGGGACGCGGCTTTCCGTGTTGGATCTTGTAAACGCCAACACAGCTGACTGTCGACCTTTGGCTAGTACCACTCTGATCTCTGATCGATCAAGAGAAATAAACAGTTGAGAGCAATCAAAGCTGGCAAGAAGGTATCTTCAACTTGCTCTAATATTATATGTATTGACTTTTCCCGGTAGCCAGATGCCGCGTGTCTTTGGATCTCAAGATTCTTCCGTACCGTATGGAATCATGGCTCTGTTGACTCCGTGAATAGAAAGGATCTTCCCAATCCTAATGCTTCCAAGTAGGTCACGAGGGAATGACGGACTCCAACGAAGGGCATTGTTGCTTGCTTCCCCCGCATCATGTATGATTGCTACTGCACAACCAAATTCAGTTAGTCATGGACTTCAATCTCCAAATCATCCTTTCCATGTTCTTTGGCTTTGGCGACTAGAAAGGTCTCCAAATCATCTCCTATGCTGGCGCCATGCACGACCAGACGACCCAACACGGGAGCATTGGCCACCACATGTTCCAATTGATCGCGTGTCGTGTTGGATCCGACATGGCGGAGCACCAATTCTTCCAATCGATCCAACTGAAGCGGCGTCTTGCGCGTCCCATCCAACAATTGTTGTTTGGTATCGTTTGCTAAAGGCAGTTCCAAGACATGCAAGCACCGCGCATGTAGCGTCGTCCAGCGATAGCCGCATCCTTGGAGTTTGGGCGCGGGAGGAACTGTCGCAACCAGATTGAGGGACTGTGGTACCAATCGCAAACTGGTCAACCAACCTCCATGTTCCTTGAGGAGAAGCTTGAGATCGGCATTCTGGAGTTGATACTTGCGTACCATGCCGTAGTGATGCTGGAATTCCACAATTTGGTGGTGCCATTCGCCAATGTGATCCAATAGAACTTGCATGCAACCACGAGGAAAGGAATCGGTATGAATGGAGAATTTCTTGGTCGTCTTTAATTTCTTGATACTGAGTGGATATTGCTTCTCCAAGAATGTCATGAGATCCGATGGCGACAAAAATCCTTGTCCACAAAGATCCATCACTTCGAGAGCGGTTTCATTTTCCTTGTTGCCCTTGCGAGGCTTTTTGGTTCCCTTTTTAGTGGCAACACCCTCGCTCTTTCGCTTGCTTTTCGTCGACATCTTCTTCTTTGTTGTCTTATTGAAAGGTTTGTGAGGGGTGTTATCTGTTGTTGTGTGCGGAAGGAGAAGTGATGGATCCGTCATATTGAATTGCGTGCCGTGAGTTCTTTGTGCTGGGGCAAGATCTTGTCTCTCCAAGACTTCCTTCCTTCGTGACTGGACTGGAACTCTGTTGGCGCGCCGGGTGGAAAATTTGGCGCCGTTGGCTGATTTTGAGCATCTGTGCGTCATGAATGAGACTGTCAATCATCTCGGACAACACAACGAACCCAAACGTCAAGCCAAGGGGGAATGCGTCAACGCTTCCCACGAAAACCCAGCGTCGGCGATTGACGTTGTTGTCATCATTCTGGTGAAGGAAGACAGGAGCTACATAGCTAGCTAGAAGATAGATGTGCAGTCCGACCAACAAAGGCGCCTTGAAACAGGCAGGGAAGGAAGATGACGCTGAGGAGTCATCCAAGACAATAAATGGCAACAACCGTGCTGCCGCTGTTTCTTCTTCGGGGCATCAACGATCGGGGGTGTCGTCGTCTCGTCGTCGTAAGTACAGCAGCAATAGAAATAATGGCGATGAATTGGCTTGTCCTGTTTATAACTCACTCGATTGTATTCCATTCTTCATCTTTTGTTTTTTGTTCCAGACCATCACAACAACCACAATCACCACAAATTCAACCGCTCCGATACAGCCGTTCATTTGATGAGTGCCATGATACAGCTCCATGTGGCCGTGGAGAAATTGCAGCAAGCATCTCCAGAAGATTGCTGGGATCAAGCCTTTCTGCACCTTGTCACACAAACCAATCAAGCCTCCAGTCGCGGCAATAATAGTATCCCCAAATCGGCTCTGCGGGAAATTCTCAAGAATCCTCGTGTCAAACCAGTGGTACAAATGATCAAGTATTTGGAAGACTTGTCTGGCGGTGATGATGGAACCATTCGCAAATCGTCCTTGGACATGCTCTTGACAGCGGCCATTCCGACGGTAGCGGGAACTGTGGATGGGATGGTCACGCAAAAGAGGGCTCTTTCGCGGGTCGCTCGAGCCAGTCACAATTTGCAGCAATATCTACCAGATCATGTACGGGGGGACATTCAATTCCAATCGTCAGCGGCAAGTGACGAAGCAGCAACATGGACGGAATTTTGCGATACACTGGAAGAAGAGCATTTGTCAATCTACAACAACAATAGCAAAAAAGAAGAGCAAACACCCGTCAAGAGACCAGCCAAACACGGGACGGTTGCATCTCTGGGGGAAGAGAACGTGGCTCCCAATAAAAACACCAAACACCAGACGACGACTACCGTGAAACCTGCGCCATCACAAACAGAGGGAACCAAACCAACAGTTCCGGAAGCATCAAAGGAAGAGCGGTCGCAACCAACAGCTACAACATCTACATCGGGCAATCGCAATGAAACAGAATCCAAGGGGAACCAGAACAAAAATACTGCCGACGATGTCACTACTCCCGTCCGAAAGAAAGCAACCAAGCTTCCACCCGAGTCTCAACCCATGCCACAACCTGTACAGACACCACAACCTTTCAAGAAAACTGCCAAAAAGTCACCCATTCCAGAAGACGTGCCAACGACTCCGGGTTCCAGCAAACATCGAAGGACCTCTAGTCGGTTTCCTATTCCACCATGCAACAACAACCAATTCACGACCGGCACTTCGCAGGCTTTTACTGCGACTGTCACATCGCCAGTCAATGGAAGCTCGCACAACCAAAAGGCCACCAAATCAGACGACAAAGAAACGTCTCCTATGTCTTCCTGGGGATTCGCTCTTCCTCCTGGCTATGAGAAGAATGCTACTTCTCCCCGCTACAGTCCTACCAGTGAACCAACACCAACGAAACGACGCAAGGAACGTGCCAAGCCAACTCACCAGTTTGCTGCGTCTCGCAATCCCCCTCCTAAATTGAAGCAGCCGGAAACACAGCATCCCAGCGGATTGTTTAGTACGACTGCGGAGGCCAAAAAGCATAGCCACAACCCGTTTTTGAGTGCCGCTACATTCCAGCAATCACGACATTCCAGCGGCATTTTTGGGGCACCTTCGGAAGCTCGCAAGGAGAATCCGTTTTTCGGTGCACCCAAACCGACTGTGGCGCAACAGCACGCGCCTGTGAATCGTCATAACAATGGCGCAACGATGAGTGGTTCAATCGTTCCAGGGTTCTTCCATCAGACACGAGCC